GCATATTCAAGTTTTGCTGCCAACTCCTCTTCTTCTGCTGCTCCTTTAGCTGTGGAACAGCTGATTGGCACTCCAAATATTTACTAGTACTAATCTGAAATAATAGTGATAATACAACATATGGTATGCCCAAAGTCTAAAAATCATTCCATTTTCAAAGAGTGTAGATCAGACATGATTTAACTTCCAGGCCCAAATGCCTGGGAAACCATTTTAGGATTTAATGCCTTATGCCTCCTGATCTTCAGGAGAATGCTTCTCCATAGATGCTGTAACAAAAAAGTCACAATTTCTAGGTCCTACCCTAATCCTAACCCTAACTGAAGGAACCATGAATGCATCAATCCTACTTCTGGTGGACTCAGCAGAAGCAATCAGATACAGGCAGTCCTGAAATTACCATGAGTCTCTGCCATTGAGGGCTGTATAGGTGACAATCAACACCCTAAATTACACCGATAAGAGGCCTATGAAGATTTCAGATCACAGATTTCACATGGTCGTATCACAAAGTATTCAAAACTGCTTATGCTGCAATTCCAAAGCATTGCAGCTTCCAAATACTGTTCAAAAGCAACCCTATGTACAACACATTACAGTACGATAGTCCCTGCACTGAAAAAAAGTGATATGTGATTGATTTTCACACTTACAACCACTGCAGCATCCCTATGGTCATGTGATCACAATTTGGGTGCTTGGCAATTGCCATGTATTTATGACAGTTGCATTGTCTTGGGATCATGGGATCACCATCTGTAACCTTTCCTGCCAGATTCTGATGAGCAAAATCAATGAACCAGAACCAGATTAATTTAATGACCACAATGATTCATTTAACAACTGCAGTGATTCACTTAACAACTGGGGCAAAAAGGCCATAAAACAAGGTAAAACTCACTTAACAACTGTCTTGCTTGGCAATGGAAATTTTGGGCTCAATGGTGGTCACAAGCCGACAACTACCTGTAATTTATTTGGGAAGTGATGAAGGCATGACAAGGAAATCAGTGTAAATATCTACTTAGTCACAATTGCTATCTGTTCTTTTAACAGGAGTCATGAGACTAGGAGATCTCCCAACTGCACACCAGCTTGATATATGGAATGCTAACATTTTTGGAGATATTTGAATTCAAGAGTGCCACAAAATCTACAGTCACATATTCACACATTAGGACCAAAATATAAGAAATTTAATACAAGTCTACTTACTGGTACATCAATTTGAAGATTATGGTACATTATTTTTTGGAAATAGTACTCTGATCTTTTTTCTATCCTACGTTGATGGTATGGAGTAATCTAGATCTCAAAACTAATTAAAATATACATATTTTGAAAAATAAAATTGTTTTTTTTAAAATAAAGTTGTGATGAAGTGGAAAGTAAAATTTTAATGTATTTCTTTTATTTTTTCCACTATATTCTTTTGTAAATTTCTTTTTTATTTCTATTTTATCTTTTCTATAGCTATTTTTTATTTTTTATTTTTCTCTAGTTTATATTAGTTTTTCTGTCGTACTTGTAAATGTTAATAAAATTAGTCTAAAATATGTATGTAAAACTTGTATGGAATCTGGGATTTAGACTTTATATCAATTATGTGAAAATGATGATTTTTAAAATAGTTTTTTTTACTTTAAAGGATGAATACTATATCCCTAAAACATCCCAGAGACAGTATTTACAATTACATTTATTGACACCCAGTTAGGGCGTAAAGCATTTTAAGTATTGGAAACAACTGGGTGATTATTAAATCCAATGACACAAAAAACCTTCCAGAATTACTTTTTATATAAATTCTGTTAGTGTGGATCATTTTGATATACAATTTGTAATAGTTGAATGGAATAATGAATAAGAGATTAGTTTACCTAGACAATGGAAAGAAGTGTTAACATCAATCCCAGAAATTTCAATAGATCTTAGGTTACAATTTATTTAATAACAATATCAACAACAATACTTTAGACTTACTGAACTCTATTGTGTTTATATAGAATAAGCTAGATAAACTGTCATGTTGTTAAAGAAAGATGCAGTCAATGCTTCATGCAAAGATATGTTTGTACAGTATTTTATAACTGTTCTGCTTTGGGAAGAAATCATTACATGTAGTAACAAGAACATTATTTAGTGTTGTCACATGTTCACTTTTTTTATAGAAACTAGATTCCTATTGCATGGAAACTGATATTTGGATAAAGAAACTTTTTAAAAAAAATATGCATTATTCTACTATTTTGGAAAGTAAAGATCCCTGCTTCTCTATGGACTTTTGAGTTGATATTATTACCAAGATTGAAATGAATTAGTTATGAATGAGTTATAGATACAAATTCATTTTGGATAATTATAATAAAATATGAAATATATCTAACATTAATTGCAATCCTTATGTAGATATTTTCTACTTTTATGTATTCATAAATATGTCCTAAATAGTTTGGTTGGTTTTTTTTTGTTTTTTTTTACTGTTTTTGGTTTCATTTTTCTTTCTTTATAACTTTTCTGTAAAGATGTAATGGGCTGTGAGAATAACCCTGAAAGGGAGGAGGAACAATGGTCTGATATGAAAAATCTGAGGCAATATGTGGTTTAGGGCAGAAGTGGGTTCCTGCCAGTTCTAACCTCTTCTATAGAAGAGGTTCCACAAATCTACCGTGCCGTTTAGAACCGGTTCCAACTCCCTCCCCCACCCGTCCACACCACGCTTGCCCCGTCTGCCACTCACTAATTGGATGGCTCACCAATCACCCCGCCCACCTCTAAGAGTCCTATCTAAACCTTAAAGTCTTAAAGCTGTCAAATTTGAACATTCCTGGGTTGTTTTTTTAAGGATTAGGGGTGCAAGGGTCTTGTATCTTGACAGCTTTAAGACTTGCATACTTCAGTGCTATAATTCCTGAGCCAACATGACTGGAGGAGGAATTCTTGGAGCTGAAGTCCACAAGTCTTAAAGCTGTCAAGTTTGAACGCCCCTGGGGTTTTTTTTTCTAAAGGGTTAGGGGTGCAAAGGTCTTGTAACTTGACAGCTTTAAGACTTGCGTGCTTCAAATGCCAGAGTTTCTGAGCCAACATTTTGGTTGCTAAGCAAGAGCATTGTTAAGTGAGTTTCACCACGTTTTACAAGTTGGCAATGCCCACCCAAACACATGACTGCCAAGCCACTCCCACTTGGTCACATGGCTGGCAAGCCACTCCCACAAAGCAGACCACACCTACAGAAGAGGTTCTAAATTTTTTTAAAACCCACCACTGGTTTAGGGAGAGCAGAAGAGCCAATAATTATTTTTGGGAGTTGATGGTAAGATGAAATGATGTAAACATTTAATAATACAATACGATGTTGTCTATGTAATAATATACATGTGGTTATATGTTATGAAAATGGAAAAATAAAAAAAACTTTATATATAATAAAAAGAAATCTGAGGCCAAAGTGGATGATGAAAGGATATCAGAATTGACCTGCTCTAGTTCTTTGGACAATAAAGGCAGGGGAGGGGAGAAGTTTTCAGACTTGCAAGACTCTATTACCATGATCTTACAATAAAGATAATATTGGTATTCTTAGTTTTGGTTTCCTGGTCTGAACTCTCTTTTTAAGAATTGACTACTGTTTATTCTTCTTTGGTTTTTATATTCAATTGATAGATGCTCTTTAAAAACCTATTTTTTATAGTTAACTAAATATTTAATTTACAAATATAAAGATAAATACATCTAGATAAATGACAGCCATGATAAATGATAATAAAAGTTGGTATGCCTTACTATTTGGTTCCCATTACTAGGTTTTACGGTAACATGAAAGAGATTTGGGATTTCACAGGATTTATCCTGATAGTGAACTCCTGATTTTATTCTTAAAACCACTTTCACTTTATGAATACATCAGTATTTATGAGCCTTATTTTTGATATATGTTTAAGTGCCAAAGGACTGTTCTTTTAGTCTAGAATGGATGAAAACAAATGTCCACTTGAATACATGTAATAATACTAACCATATTATGACAGCACTTGTCATATTCGCACAAATTTCCCCCTTTATGTATATGCAAACAAAATAGCTACATGCAGAGTTATTTCTCTTAAATATCTGGCAAGGCATATGACTGTTAGAAATTTGGCTGTGGTTAAAACAAAATTTAGCGCTCGTTAAAGCATTAAGAGGAATGCTGATGGAATCAAAGCAAATTGTCTGATAAAGCTGTAAAGTTATCCTCAACACACATAAATGATTGAATGCTACCATTAGATTCTCATGCAGACTCTTTTCCTGCAACTAGCAAGTAGCTACATAACCCTTCAGTGTGGTAACTGAATTAAGAACACTAAATTCCAGCAGTAGCAGTATCTTGAAAATATTACATTAAGAGATTTTTCATTTTATACTGTTTCTTCTTCCTTCAGACCCACAAAAAACTGTGAGAATGTCACTTCTCCACAGCATGTTTTACCGATATTCTCTAAATACATTTTGGGGTAGCTCAGTGTGGTAAACCAGAATTCTGTAAATTTACTATACATAACGTCTACTTTCAAAAGCTTCCTTCTTTAGGTTTTGTCAAACACATGTCATGAAGGAACTTTCCACACTTCAAGAATGAAAAAAAGAAAAAAAAAGATAATTGGGTCCTACTTCCTCTCTGTATGTTGGTTTTAATGGGTGCTGTCAAAATATGCCCCTCACTGAATGTGTTTTATTTTGGAAGAAACCAGAACTGAAAGGGTTAGGGTGTGTTACTGCAGTGGTTATCAGCAGACAGCCATCTAACCTTTGGTACTTACAGGAATTTTATGGCTCTTGATCATATTATCAAACTCTTCATTAATTTTTTTATATTTTTCTTCAGTGCGTGGGGTGAGGGCATAAGAGGAGTCTGGATCAGGGCTTTCACAGCCTTTGTTTTCTTTCTTGTTCAATGCCTGCCAGGTTCAGAGAAATATCAGAAAGTAAAAAAAATGAAGGGAATTCAGAGTACTTACACATAATCTTTGCCTGCTGATCATTAGATCAATATCTTCATTAATTTTCCTGTACTTGTCCTCAGACTCAGGGCTGTGACCTACTGAATCATCTGCATCGGGATCTGGACTGTCACACCCATTAAGTCCTTTCTTTCTCAACGTCTGAAATAGATAATTTAGAAAGTTGAAGCCTTGACAGAGGCAGCAAGAACAATTCAGGGCCTTTACCACAGTGCAGACTAGTTGAAGGCTGTCACATTATACATTAGGGAGAGACAGTAAATTGAGATGTTTAGGTCAATAAACAGCAGATTTTGTTACCAAAGACAGCTCTCCTGAAACAGAATTAGTAAATGAAGAGAGCATAACTTCTAATAAAATATCTGTATTACCATCACAGCTTTTCTCAGGAATGGAAACATCAATAGTTTAAATACACACAGGGCAAAGAATTCAATCAAAAAAAGAACTAGTAGTTCATAGTGAATAGAATGGCAGTACAGTATCAAGCCTACAATTGTTCTTATATTAATCTACAGATCAATCTGCCCTAATACTGCTCTGTAAGAGCACTAAAATGAAGAAGTTAAAGTGATAATGGTCATGTAATTGTCAAGATACTCTAACTCTTACATGTAATACCATAACTTGAAAAATCTTTGTTTTTTAAAAAACATTTTAAATCAGTTTCTATAAAGTAAAACCTAATATAATCAGTTATCTACAGTAGCATGATCTTCAACATTAATGAAACACTGTGATCAAATTTTTTCCTTGACACACAACCTTACAAAAAAAAACCAGAAACTGAAATAATTACTTATAAATCACTTTGGAACAAAGAATCAGGTTAAATTTACAATTTTATCTTCCTATCATCTTACTAGTTTTATCAGAATTTTGAGACAAGTCTTGCTGTACATCAAATTCTGAATTTTGGGTAATATTGAAAATTAATACATTTTTAGCATCTTATAATATTTATTTATTTTTAGAAAAAAAAGCAACTTTTTTTTAATCCTATAGAGAAAATATCAGTCAAAGAACATGGGCCATTCAGATTTCTGAGATGCCAACAGTCTCCACAAAAAAGTTAGAGATTTGAATTATAAAGAGGAATACATCTTTTTTTTTTTGTAGTGCATCTCAGATGTCTTTGTCTGTCATTGAAGGCCAGCCAGGTCTTATGCTCCTTGCTCCCATTATAAAGATTTATGTCTTGAGTAACACAAGGAAGCAGGAATTTGTGCGGTATATTCCCAATCCAACCCTATTGTGAGTATAACATTTGCCACTCTTATTTGGCACTGCAGAAAGCTCAATAAAAATGCTTGGTAGCATTTCTGAATGTCAGCTCTTACTCATTCTCATTTTAAAAATTAGGAAATTTCTGTTGTAATGATTAAAACAAAATCTATCTATATAACTTTTTATTTTTACAATCCATACTTGAAAACCCAGTGATAGGTTGAGAGGATTGAATAACTTTAGAGATGCTGAGATTTATTTAGTGGGAACAAGATGCTGATAAATGGAAAAGGAACAGATGATGCTAAGGGTAATTCCCAACGGATATGTAGGAGAAAGCCCCCCAAATAAAACCTATGAAATGGCAATGGCAAACAAAATGTCTGTATGATAGAGACAAATTGTATGGGTATCACAGTACCATTTATATGAGTTTGAGCACCAAATGCAGGACAAAAGCCACTTATCCACTTATTGGAAAGACTATTGAACTTTTAAAAGTAGATATTGAGATAATGACAGAGCCAAAAAAAAAAAAAAGAAGCTACAAGAAAGTCTGATCACTGATGATGCAAAAGGCACTTGTACTCTTTAGAACACCAGGTGTAAAAGGAGTTTCTTGTTTCACAAGAACACATGCAACTGGAACATAGAATGTGAGAAGCATGTACCAAGTAAAACATGAAATTATCTAAGTATGGACTAAGGAATCATGACAGTTTGTAGGGTGGAAGGATTGGGAAAAAGATGTATTTCAGACAATTCAGTCTATATACAACTTAATTAAATAAAATCCAAATGGCAAGAATGGTAGGTATACATTTCTTCTACAAATTTACTCAGACTTCAGTGTCCTGAGGCCCCAGCAGGGGTTAAGTTTAGTCATCTAGGCATTCACTAAGGGCCCAGGAAGAGAAGAGAGGAAGGGGTGAATGAGTACACTTCAACTGATCTGAAAAATATGCAAGTTGGATTCTTGTCCATGAGAGCTCAGCACTTCACAATCTGACATAAGGCTACATCACTAGGCATCAGCAATCTTACGTATTTTAGACATTCACACCTGTCAGCAACTCTGCACCTGTTGTCTACTCTGGCAAAGACCAAGTGACAGCAGCCAATCACAGCAGCTCCTGCTGCAACATGGCCATACATGGCTTTTCTCAATTGTGTTTCTGTGTACTAAGGCTGCTAATCTCTGTGGATTTCAGCAGTCTGCTTTTTGTCCTTGTAATGGTGTCACAGTTTTCAGTTCTTCACTGAGTTAAGTGTTTAAGAATGACACATGCTGTTTCTTATACAAGTTTCCTTCCCACAATAGCCCACATATGCAAATGGGTTTTAAACTTGTTTATACACAAGTCCAGATTATCTCTTCAGTGCCATTTTTTAAAAAAGTTTTTGTTCTCATTTAAAGAAGAAAGAAATCCTATTGCTTTATAACAGCGCCTCAATTCAACTTTCTGTAGATGGGTACTATGGGAAAAGTCTTACAGTAATATGGTCATTGTAAAAATTAAAATAAAGATGCATTGATATTCAGCCAATATTTTAACTATGGCTTAACTATGGCTTAATTATTTTTAAAATATTTTCCAAATATTAAATATTTTTAAATATTATCCAACTATTTTCTTCAGAATGAGTAAGACTTCTCATTCAGATGTCAGTTTATACACACCTTATTACTTAGTGAAGTTAAATTCAAACCTGTTCAGTTTTTTCCACCTTTTATATATATGGAATTGGGCCACTGAATGACTGTATCACCATGCTAAAAATCTTTTTTCCTTTATCCACTCTGTTAAATCTAACCTTTTGTATTTTCTTTATAAGAACCATATCCTCAGGTAAAAAATTAATTTCTTCTAACGTTTATTACTTGATCAGATCATTCCCTAATATCAATAAACAATTTCACTAATGCAGTTATCAAATACCTTCTCCACCATCTAATTCATACTCACCGGAAGGTTTTTTGTTAAAAAACAACAGCCCCAAATGAAACATTTCAGATATTATTAGCATTTACTTATTTAATGTTAGTAAGACTCAGATAAAAGCACAATCAATCTAACATGAATTTGCATCCGGTGATATAAATGCTGTATCTTCAATGATTAACACATGATTTCTGACAGATACATGCTCAAGACCTTAGTCAGAAATAACTTCACTTCCCAATTCTGAAGTTATACCAGCCCCAAAGTGACTTAGCATCTCCATCTCAATCTTTGAGGGAGGAGGGAAGATCATACACTGTAGGGTAAAATAACAGAAGAGGAAACTGGAGGACATCTGAGGAGCTGACAATGCTGAATTTAAGATTTAGGAGACATACACACCGCATGACTGCCCGATATGAATCTCCTGCATCAACTTTCCAATTTTTTCCAACTATGCCACCACCATTTCATGTTAATATTGTTTCCTTCTAAGCTCAACTAAATGCCTGCTCTCCATTTAGCAGCCTGTGGAAATCTTCACTGGAGTAAGACCGATGTTCTGTCTGTCAGTGTTGCTGTTACAAATACAGTACTCTTGTTCCCAAAGCCTGGGAAAAAGCAGCAATTGGTAATTTTCATTTACCATCTAATTTGGCTTAATATTTATAGAAGCATAAATACAATGTAATCTAAGCAATAAATGAAAAATACTTAAAATAAAACTTGAACCCTTTAAAAAAAATTATAAATATGCTTGCCATACCATGAAAGGAAAATGTACACATTGGGACCCGCTGCAGCGGCTTTCCCACTGCAAGGGTCAAGTGAAGCTCAAACAGAACAGAACCCGAAGGCCTTTTAGTCCAGCATTTGTTTCCATTGTGTACAAATGCAAAATAAACCATTATGTCAATTCCAGTGGTGTTACTCTATAGTCAGAATATTTATTTCAGTTATGCATGGTTTACAAACTGAAAGCAGCCGCCTTTTTTCCAAAGACAACATATCATTTCTCTACATATATATCTACAGGATGACAGATCCATATATAGTACCCTGACTTTCAAGATATTTTCTAAGAAGCTATTCTATGCGCTACACACAAGGAAAATTAGATTGCCCAGTGAAGGCCAGACTAAATCTGAGGAGACCACTACTGATTAAGGTGTCTTTTCCATTCATATATACAACCTTGGAAAGGACAGACTTTTCTAAATTCTTCCTTTATCCCATATTCAATCTCCTAGAACTTGATTGCTCCAGACACTGTCTTAAGTGAAACGGGCTACTATAAAGGCAGATTCAATAGTACTAACTCAGCCTTATGTTTTAAATGAGGAGGTAGTAGATATATGCATTTTTTGTCTGTCTCTTGAATTATCTGTCTCTTCTTACCTACTTTGGTCCTGACTACAGAGCCAATCTGGCTCCAAGCTGAATATGCTGGAATGATACACCTGCTTGAAAACACATGTAAACACCCTCTATATATTTTATGTGTTTAGAAAAAAACAACAACAGAAGTACATAAAACCTTTGAAAAATGTAATATGTATAAACCTATGCCTTAAGCTTTACAAATAAAGACCTAAATCTTTAGTATTAATTTTCTTTGCTACTTTTATGTCCTACAGATGTAAAAATGTTAATTAAAGCACAAAATTAAAAAAAAACCTGAGAAATTATATTATACAGCTGCATCTAACAAGGCATACCATGTTTTGGAGATTTTTTGTTCTTTTAAAGTAGCCATCCCTAGGGTGGAAACATCAAAATTATCCTTTACCAGTAACTATTTTTAGGACAGGAAATGATGTGTGATGCAGCCAGCAGAAACTGAATGATAGAATATAATTACTAGAGGCCAACTTTTTCCCCTGGACTTTAGAATCAGGCATATAATAGGCCTAGGAACTGTAAGCAACCGATCTTTTGGTTTTGCATTTCATCTAAAAGCCTACACTTACA